CTCCAGTAAAGCATATTCAGATGAAAATTACTCTTAATTTATTGAACAGTATGGAATAACTTCATATTTAAAGCACTTTCACAAGTTTGAATTCTGAATATGAACGGACTTTTCCTTTAAGTCATTTCTGAAGCATTACTCTGATCTTCTAAATGTCTAAATGAGTAACAAAAATCGTGATGTAGAGAATATTCAGCTATTTTTAATAGGTATGGTATGTTTTTAATTAAGGGTCATGTATTATTTGTGGCTCTACGCCTGTTGTGTTTAGTTGGGTTCGGTATAAAATGCCCTGTGATGGATCTTTCTAGGGTGGACCCCGCCAAACCGCCGGAGATAGGCACCAGCCCCACCGCGCCCGTGACGTAATAAGAGGATGGATGGATGGATGGATGGTGTAAAATGGCTCTTTGGATCTTAGAAACTGCAAACCCTGCTTTAGATCAACCAAGGCCAGTGTTAGTGCAGGGTGGCTGCTGCGCCGTTTCAAGTTGTGTACAAACCCCGCTCCCCGCACGCACCGGTTTTTTCTCCGTATGAGAAATGGAGCGCACCCTCAAAGTTGACGCAAGAAGAAGCCTTCCTATTGGCTACAGTCTCAGCCAATCGACTCCGTTTACACTGTAGCGCTAGGCTATCTTTGACATTCACTGTTCACATGTAGATTTTAACCTGTATTTAGTGATAAAAAGAAGCTCAGAATGAACATTATTCTGTCGTCTGTTTCCAGACTGCGTGGATTAACCCACCTGCGGAGGTAAGTTAGTTTGCTGTGACATAAACACGGGAATGAATCCTGTTTCAGCCTGGAGCTAAGTTCAGATGCTAACGGCTAAATAGCGATATGCTAGGGTCATGTTAGCTGTATGAACCGCTTCTGTAAGCTCACGGTGACCCGCAAACACGAAGAAAATAACACAGATTTTTATCCTGTGCTCTTTTTAATAGTGTTATTTTGTAAATTTGCAGTTGTCTTTATATACACTGTTTATTGAATTAATAAACCTGAATACATTTAGTCGCTGGAGGCAAGTATAGTATTTATGTCTGGACCCAAGCCTGCATTTTGAGTTGATTGGGTTTAGATGTTTTCATTTTTCCATCTTATTTTAGAGCCTAAAAACATGATATACAAACAAGTTATAAACACCTGAGCTTTCTCAGGTTCTCAGATTTCTGATTGAGTTTTTTTCTTAATGAAAGGTTTGAAAACATGCTTCAGCTGTTTATTCAAATGTTTGGGAGAACAGTTTCCCCTACCATCACCCAAGGC